TTTGGGGGGATGTGTTTTTCCCAGTGGTGAATGTCTCTGACACTGTTTCCATAAGTTGCAGTCACTTAAGACACTCACTTTTACCGTCTGACAAACAGACCGGTTTGTAAGATTCATCACTAAAGACACATTTTAGCAAATTATCCAGACACACGGCATCAAAAAGCATGTGATATCTAGTTGGGCATTCAAATGAACTATCTGAAGAAGATATTATTTATAAGCCACTCTCATTAGCCAAGCCACACGTCTGGATAATTATTGATTTTTCCTTGTTTTCCGAGGCTGAGAAAACAAGAGAATGCGAAACCAAATCAATAGTGGAGTACTCCACTCAGAAGGTAAGCTTATGAGAGCGGTGACTGTGATCCGCCTGTCTGACTTCAACAAGCAGGTGGAGAAGTTCCAAGGTCAATCTCTAATTACAGAGGTTCCCCAGGGGGGTACATGCTGGATCATTGGAAGAAAAAAATGGAGTGAGAAAAGAGTTTCGAAGGTGACAAAGAAGCTGACGGGCAAGTTTAATTCCCTAGTTTTATCACAGAAGGACACGTTCTCTTGAGCTATTCAGATACTGAGGCATTATTATAGGTATTTGAATTTTTAATATGATGTATTTAAAATGTAGCTCTGCTATTATATCTGTACATGTTGTGAGATTCTACACGAGCTTCTTGTTTATCTCTTAGATTTTGAGGATGACAGTTTGATCAGAGGCATTAGGAAGTCCTTATAGACAGTGTCACTGGCCGAATTCGACATAGATTTCCATCCGTCTGATTGTACACATGCATCTCTGGAAGCCTGTTTTTTTTCTTTACATCATATGATGTTGTATACAAGTGTGATCTTGCAGCTTCAAATATACAAAAAGTTGACCTGTTCTTTGAACAAATGTATTTGAGTGAGTATTCTACCGGCGAGTTGATACTTATATCGATGTCAGCGTGTTATTGATTGTCCTGGAGTTGGGAGTGGGCCCTCACCTGCTGCAGCTCCAGCAGAGGTCGACCAGGACAAAGCTCCTCCCCTGCAGCTCGCTCTCTTTTTGCTCTACTCCGTCTCTCTTTCACTTTCTCCCTCCCTCTGACACTGTTCTACCACAAGGGGAGGGGATTTTCAATGTGGGCAGAACTACACAAACATTTTGATCCTCTCTCATATGTATGAAGAGCTCCTTGCACATAACATGTGTGAAACAGCAATTTGCATGATTTAACTAGTCAAATGTCCCTGTAATGGTGGAGGATAAATTAATAAGAGTTTGGATTGCTCTTAACACCTAGCTTCTGTGTTGACATTTGGTTGTTCTTCACATGTGACTAACAGGAAACTTAATCAGCTAGTCTTTCTTGTTTTTTTTTTATTTTGGGGTCTCCAACATGGAATAAATGCAGAGGTCAGCATATAAATTAATTTTACAAGAATTTAGAGCCCTGAAATGGTTGCTGAAGTAAGAGTCAATAGTTGAAAAGTGTTCTACAGTTTCTCCATGAGGGTAAATTTGGTCTGCGCGACTGAACACAAAACAGAATCAATGGGCCTATTCTGTTTGCACTTGGCACAAACTGAAGGTGAACTGGAGACAGAATTGGATGTTTGAAGTAGTAATGGGACTTTGTGTTCTTAAAGGAAGAGTCAGGCTCTGTAGCAGCACTGTAAATATCTATAGCTGTCTTTCCTTGGTCTTTATCGGCAGGCAAATAATCCAAGGTTTCAAGCAGTCAAAGTCTCTGGAGGGCAAGGTAAAGCCAGCCAATCATAATTACTTAAATAGTCCCATAATTGTGTTGCCCATATAGTTGTTAAACTATCAGTCTGCCACAGTAGCTCTAAGCCAGATTATAAAATATACTATGAAAGTGACCACACATAAAATGTACAGTTGGTCATCTCACACTAAGTAGGTTCCTGTTTAGAATCCCAGCTGTGGCCTCTCTGAGTGGATGTTTTAACTGTGTGTGTGTGTATGTGTGTGTGTGTGTGTGTGTGTGTGTTTCTCTCTGAGCACTCAGTTTCTTCCGATGATTTAAAAAACATACATTGCAGGTTTATTAACTTGGTATGAATGTGTGTCTTTGGATACTTCATTTGTTTTATTTTATATGCTTGTTATTCAGACCATAGAGATGAACTTTAAATGAACATATCAACCAACATGTTCAAAACATAAACATAGAACATGTGCTAAAGTCAAATGACAGTTACAGTACGTGCAAAGGGGGCATGAGGCAGTTTGTTCATTCATAAGTTATTTCCTGCCCTTCAACTCCCAAGCATTTCCAATTTGGTCTTCTTCTTCACTGACATTCAAAGATGATGAGGATTTAAATTTTGTCGCCATCAGATTGATTAAAACTGTCTGGGGACTTCAGCAAGAGAATAAACTAGTTATCCATTCCGGGCAGAATGAGTGTTGCAGCTATCCCAGTTTTTGTTTGATATCTCAACTGAGTTTGCATATATTTCCTAACCTATGTTAGACCATTTCAGACCAAGTAGAGCACATTGAGGACGATTGGGAGATGAGGAATATCTTCCTTTCATGTGCGGTTCTTGCTCTACTTTCCTGGAGACAGATCTGGGCTTTTACCTGACCCACTTTCAAGAACTACTGGAAGAAGAGCCAAGGGGAAACAAAGGAAAGGATCCTTCAGGGAACAAATGTGTCTAGCTGCTGGAATGGTATGAATTTCATCTGGATTGTGACGTTTTTAAGAGCATAGCTTTAGTCTCCAAAAGTGAGTTGCTGGATGTACTTCAAGTGTGAGTGACACTTGTCTAGACTAAATTATATTTCATAAGCTCCACATACATTTTATTTACAGTTCAAATTCAACTTGAAAGCACATATCTGCAGGCAAAAATGAAAAGACATGCTCAGAGACACTTCATTCTGCTCTGCACAAAATATTTATCTGACGATCATCCTGTTTCCAAATATTTATGTACCGTTCATAATCTCACGAGAAGAACCCGTGTTGTGGCATCACGGTTCCACTTTTTGTTGAGCGATGCTTCCTCTTTAATGTGAAAACAGTGAGGAGAGGAGTGCTGGGGAGGGGGGGGGGGGGGGGGGGGGGGGGGGGGGGGGGCGCGAGAAACTTTTTTTATGCGCTGCAATGCCCAACTGCAACCCACGCATCTCTACTACAGTGAATTACGGTGAAATATGAGATATACGAGAAGAGCCGGTAGCTCACAAACAGTTTGAGTCGTGATGAGATGACACAGCCGCTGATTAGTCAAATGAGGAAGAAGAACAGATATGAAGGTATAGACGAACGACCAGAAGGAAAGTTAAAGGATGAGACAAACGGGATGAATACGCTTCCGCGCGCCAAGATAAACAAGATAGTATTCCTGCATGCAAATAGCCTGTCTGAAAAACTGCGATATGCTCCTACAGATAACGCTATGTGGCTTTGTTTAGTGCATGAAGAACGCTGTGGCTGTGCACGATCCGCACAAGGGGCAGCGAATGGCATGAGCGAGTCTGGCACCTGTCGTTCCAAACTACACCGAGCCTGTAAATCAAAATGCCATTTGGCGTTTGATGATCCAGATACATGAGCTTGGCTGTTTTATCCCAAAATTCTTTATGCATTTGCGCTCTAATTCTGAAACAAGAAACGTCGTCAGTGAATCTGTTTGGTAACGTGCATAGCTGTTGTTGCCATCTGGATAATTTAGAAGGGGGGGGGGGGGGGGGGTAATCAGAATTATTATTTTAATGTGAACGAATCAATTGCTGATCAGGTAAATGTCGGTGTTTGTGGGCAAACACGCTGCTGGTTGCGCTTTCCCTTGCAGCCTTCTTTCCTCACAAGTCTGCAGATGTGACGATAGAGGGTTACCTTTGCTCCGGCTACCAGTGGCGATTTATTGCTCCGGAGTAGCCTGTGGTGTCAAATTGTGCTGCATGTTTGATGGCAGCATGGCTTTTACGCAACACTCATTTTGCAACCAGTGCCCCTCAAAGCTGCTTCAACCTGTAGCATGGCAGCATGTCTCTACTCGTCACCGGAGCGATGGAGGTCCATCCTGCACGCTGACACCTTGTTTCCCCTCTGCTCCCGTTGCCGCCTTGCTGCAGAGCCGCAGACTTGCGTGATTCATGACTGAAAGAGAAGAGTCTGCTTTTGGGGAAGTGACTTGGGACCGGACACCGCAGCTGGGCTCGTTTACTACCAGAGGAGACATTGCTAGCAGGTCTTACAAGTCTCGGTTCAAATAGGTAGGAGCATCAGATTTTGATTGGTTTATATGCTTCAGTGTGCAGGAGCCAAATATGCATTTGTTTAAATAACACATATTGTTTAAATAACTCTACAGTTGTGCAGTGGGTTATGGTCATTTTAATGACAACTATAAACAATTGAGTAATCAACTTTTCTGACTTATTTCTGTGTTTGAGAGGAATGTTGATCAGATCACACACAGAAAGACAGAAGATTCATCTCAAATACTGTATGGAGCACTCAGCATATAATCAGATCTGTTGGTTGTAATTGCACCCTGTGAGAGTAGATGCAGTAATACTGGTGAGTGTATTGATCCTGCAGGGTGCCCATATGAGAGAGAACTCATAACCTAATACAGATAGATGCAATGGAGCCAGTGAGACTCCAGAGGCTCTGCTCTTGTGTGGTTGCACTGAGGCCAAAATAACACCGGTTCTCTTGCAAAAAGTGACAATTCAAATTTATATTGATTTCTATTAGAAATGGTAGATGTCTATTTTCGTCTTTAAAAAAAATGAAAGTAGGAAAAATATTTCAATATGTATGAAACATTTTAAGTTTTATTGCTTGTTGCATGAGATTTGGCATGAAGTCATCAATAATTGAATTAAAACTGCGACCTTCCTCTGCTTTCTGTCCCTGTTTATAGCAGATCTGTAGGTATCTGAACCCACAGAGGTGTGGAGTTTTCACAACCTTGTGGCCCAACGTGGCCCCATCCTGTCTGAAAGCTGCAATCCCAGTGTTTTTTCCACTATGACGGTTGCCACCAATGACCCTGCAGATGAAGCAGCGGCACATCCAGGTCAGCCTCATGACCAATACGACCAAGAACCGGACCATGAGTGCTGTGAGAGAGTTGTCATCAATATCTCAGGTCTACGCTTTGAGACTCAGTTGAAGACACTTTCGCAGTTTCCAGAGACGCTGTTGGGTGATCCGAAAAAAAGGATGAGATATTTCGATCCCCTCCGGAATGAATACTTTTTTGACCGGAATCGACCAAGTTTTGATGCTATTCTTTATTATTACCAGTCTGGCGGGAGGCTGCGCCGGCCTGTTAATGTGACCCTAGACATTTTTTCTGAGGAGATCAGATTTTATGAATTGGGTGAGGAAGCTATGGAAATCTTCAGGGAAGATGAAGGTTTCATAAAGGAAGAGGAGCGACCTCTACCAGAGAACGAGTTTCAGAGACAAGTTTGGCTTTTGTTTGAATACCCAGAGAGCTCCGGCGCAGCACGTATTATTGCCATCATTTCTGTCATGGTGATCCTCATCTCTATTGTCAGCTTCTGTCTGGAGACACTACCAGTTTTCCGCAATGAGGATGAGGACATTTACTCTTATCCATTCCAGCCCATGTCCAACTCCACCTCTACGTATGACAGCTCAACATATTTCACGGATCCTTTCTTCATTGTGGAAACTCTCTGCATAATTTGGTTCTCCTTTGAATTCCTTGTAAGGTTTTTTGCCTGTCCAAGCAAAGCTGGATTTTTCGGCAATATCATGAACATTATAGATATCGTAGCAATCATTCCTTACTTCATAACTTTGGGTACAGAGCTTGCGGAGCGGCCTGAGGACAGCCAAGCAGGACAGCAGGCCATGTCTTTGGCTATTCTTCGTGTCATTCGACTAGTGAGGGTATTTCGTATCTTCAAATTATCACGTCACTCTAAGGGACTGCAGATCTTAGGGCAGACTCTAAAGGCTAGTATGCGTGAGCTGGGACTCCTCATCTTCTTCTTATTTATCGGGGTAATCCTATTCTCAAGTGCTGTCTACTTTGCAGAAGCAGATGAGCCACATTCCCAGTTCAGCAGCATCCCTGAAGCATTTTGGTGGGCAGTGGTTTCCATGACAACGGTTGGCTATGGAGACATGGTCCCAACAACTATTGGAGGAAAAATTGTGGGGTCCCTTTGTGCAATTGCCGGTGTGCTGACTATTGCCCTGCCAGTTCCGGTCATTGTGTCAAATTTCAACTACTTCTACCACAGAGAGACGGAAGGTGAAGAGCAGGCACAGTATCTGAATATCCCAAGTGTGCCTAAAGCCAGCTCAGCTGACGATTTGAAGAAGAGTGGTCAGAGTGGCAGTGGATCCACTCTCAGCAAGTCTGACTATGTGGAGATACAGGAGGCTGTAAATCATAGCACAGAGGACTTCAGACCAGAAGGCATGAAAACAGGAAACTGCACCCTTGCTAACACTAACTACGTAAACATCACTAAGATGCGTACAGATGTGTGATAGCATTTATTGTAGATAGTCAACATCTGCTGAGATTTACACAGTATCAGGAGGATTTGGCTCATATGTTGCCCCTTGCTTGGCGCTCGGTACGGGAGTACATACAGAACATAGAGAAAGGGAGATTAACTTTGGGAAAGAGTCCTGTTCTCTGGCTTAATATGGACTAATCAGTGCATATAGTAAACTGACACCCATCGTAATTAGGACATTGTGAGTGTCTCTGCATGTTGTAAGACTCAAAGTACATACAGTTTTCCTGCTTGCAACAGTAGCCAAATAGTAGCCAAATTAATAATAATTATTTGTGACAATGTAAAGGGACCACTAGTTTCTATCTTTTTGCTCAAACTGCTGCCAAGAAGATGCACAATAACAATTACTGAGATCAGCCAGCCTTTTCAAAGAAAGGGTAACTTACCTTGTGATCAAACATGTAATATTATCAGCATTCATGAGTAGCTTTAACCTGTCGCTCAAACTGCCAGTCTTTATTTAGAGGGAGACAAAATCACTATGACCATAGCTGTCCTGTCAAGGGAACAGAGCAACAGAGAGAGAGAGAGAGAGAGGGGAAGGGATTCCAATATGTTTTTGGCCAAATGGACATTTGCTCCTTTTAATGTTTGAGAAAAAATGCACTTTGGCATAAACTGATTCTTTGTCCCTCAGTAGATCTTTTCCAGTCCATCAATTGGCCTCTGTAGAGATCAAGAATTAGTAGACTGTGGAGTGCTGAAAATCCATAGCACACCATATGAATGTTTTTCAGTTTTAGTTCTTCACAGTGAAGCTAATGTGAATTTACAGTGCATTTTTTCTCACCAATACTTTGCCTTTTTGTCTTCAAACTAATGCAAAATATCAGATGAACAAAAGATATGTCTTTCTGAACATAAATGTGTTGTTAATTTATTTATATGTTTATTTAATTGTTTTTTCTTTCGAGAGTGAGTTTTTTTTGGATGAAACAAATTACAAAACATATCTTTTATGGTTATAATGGCTAATGTTGAATGATAGGTAATATTTCTTTATAGCTTTCAGAGTGCCTATTTTGCCATCCTCTCTTTAACTGTACCTTTAAGTGTCTTTCAAGTCGGATTTTTGCCCAGCATAAATATTGACTTCACATCATTCCTCGGTAAAATGAGATTATGGGGCAGTTGAATATCAAGATGTCTATATGTTTATGTGTAGCCCATGTCGACACATGTAGGGACTTTTACCAGCAAAGTCAACGGGTCTAATGTACAATTACTCAAGTTTTATAAAGCATCAACCCTAAAAGCTGAATTCACTGGTTTTCAGATACGGCTACAACCAAAGTAAGACCTGATTTAAGATTATTCAGATACTTTATTTGTCAGCAAAGCCTTGTATTACTGATTTACACTAAGTGTACAGAACAAGATCAGTGGTTAAGGCTACTGTAAGCTTGAATTTCTGCTTCGAGCAATATACACATATATATATACATATATACTTATATGTGCGTGTCATTTTGACATATCCATTCAAGATCAGTAGTAATTCCGTTTGTCCACTTTAGCAGACACAGCTATGAAAGACATATAGGGGTCCTTCTTCTCTTAAAGAATATGTCTTTCGCTTAATGTAGAGCTGCATGTCCTTTAGATTTATAGTCTGCACTGGTATTAATATTTAACAAGCTAATATACTGAAATATATTCTTGTATCTCTAGAGGTATTTTCACCTATGTCACAATTCATGTGAAGTCTCTGGTGTTTGGAGAAATGAGGAAGTGACAGCAGGTTAATCATGAGTGGAATCAGAAAAGGTTTGATCAATTGTCAGCATGCAGAAGATGAGAGTTCTCAGCTATACTGACTCCAGACAAGGAAGTCTTGACTTTTAGATTGCAGTGTGGATATTAACAAATGCGCAGTAACCATGTGCCATAATGAAAGGATGACATTTACTGTCTGCTGCCAGCCCAAAGGGTACTTAAGGATTCATAGTTTTTCTTCTTCTGAGCATATGATAATGCTTTTAGGAAATGGCTGAGTGCTCATTTCAGTGATATGTGGGTCCATCTAGTTTAGCGTTGTATGTTGTCTGTGCATTTGTGTGTCAGGGAATGACTGAGAGACAGCCAGAGTGTGGATGTAATGGAGAGCTCTGAGAAATTTACTAGATGAGTGTGTAGCTTTGAGAGACAATGTGGTGGAAGCTGCCCCTTTTGAAAACATGCAGGAATGACCATGGTGTGTTTGATGCATTTAATGCATTTTGGCTCACTGTTTCTAGTCTGTGTACTTCAGATGTTCCATCTTAGCATGGACTAAATTAAACAAGTAAAAGTGTAAGTTTGAATTATGTGATAGGCTCCACTATTAACCTGGACGGTTACTGCTAATTGAAGAAAGGAAACATCATAATGGACGCACAAGAAACACTGCCTCTTCTGCTTTGTACTCTGGTTCATGCTGTTATTCCTCTGAACTCTTTTTGTTCACTGGAGCACCTATGTCACAATAAGGTTGGCTTGGACTGCTGTCCTTTCATTTCTTGTTACCAAGTGCACAAGTGAAGTGACGCACTGCCAAGATTAAAAAAAAAAAATCTGTACTGGAGAACTCCACAAAGCAACACATCAAGATCTGAACACATCTTTGTTGCTAGACCAACAACTGAAACAAGTGGACATTCATGCACACACTTCCAAGCTTAGAGGTTCTACTCATTTTGCTTGTGTACATGTGTACACACACTGCCTGTGAACCGTAATCTTGATGGACACGTCTGTTCTCTAGACAGACACCGAACTGTGGCTTTGTTGCACCTCAGTGGAACCCACAGCTAATGGGTTTGCAATTCTGTTGCCATGTTAATGTATCTTAAGAGTTACAACTGCTTTTAACGATGTCTTAAAATGCCTAAAGCTTCACAATACGTTTCTGCCATGTAGTTTTTTGTGTTGTAAAGATTTAAGGTGTATGCTTGCTGAACTAATTCATGAACATGAAGTAAGTTTTATACAACAGGCACACATTCTAT